AACCAGACAGACTAGAGAAGGTAGTTCGGTGTGGAGATTGGGTGAGAATCCCATAAGGCACCCAGAAGACAAACACATTACTTGGGGTTACCTGTCTTCCCAATAGTCTTGCCTAACACGTCTCTCTCTTGCTTATGCTAGTAATAGAAAGTGGAATCTCTGGCTAACCAGCAGAGCTCCTTTCTGCCTCTTCCCTGCTCCTTGCCTCCAGCTACTCCCTGCACAAAAGGAGCATTTCTTCCCCAGGAGCTCTACAGCATTCCAACTCAGCAGCCACTGCCCACCACAGCCTTTCTTATCCATAACTCCAGGCATGTTAAAGAGCTCAGGTGGTATCCGGTGCCTGTTAATTATGCAGGAGAGGGTCAGCTTACTAGGACTGGTGCTGACTCTGGGGCAGAAGGGCTGGCATGGTGGGCCAGTGGTGCTGCTTGGTGAGGGGTTTGCTGGAGCCAGTGCTGCCATTTATGTCTTTCAGCCTCTACTGCCCAAAGGATAACATCGAGGAAGCCCTCCTGCTCCTCCTCATCAGTGAGTCCATGGTAAGCTCCATAGTGGTCCTCAGGAGTCTCTGACCCTCTGCACCTATGAGGTGGGCTATGGGTTTATGGTGTGGGGCTGTGGGGCTCAGGTACAGGTATGTGTTGGCCGAGCTCTGCCTTCCAAGGATGCCCCTGATGTAGGAGCTTCCTGACCCTGCTCCTCCATATGGGAGGTGAATCTTGGTTTGGGTTTGGCTACAACAAGGCTGCATTCAGAGACCTGGGTTCTACCCCCCAGAAGAGAGGGACTGAGTACATGAGTCCCCACCTACCTCTTCTTCCCAGAAGATAATTATCAATGAATCAACAGTATACCTGAGCAACTGTGCGGGGACAGATAGCAGAGACTGGCAAGGAGGAAGTGGAAGGAGCATGCACATCTTGAGCTTGGAGTCAGAAGACCTGGATTCAGGTTCCAGTTGCACTGCCTTAACTGAGGGTCAGGGGCAAATTGCTTAATCTCTTTGGGCCTCAGTTTCCTCCCCTGTAAGATGGTAGTAACTCTCAGAGATAATTGTGCCCAGGCTCCTGCTCTGACCCCCAGCTGAACCCCAAGATGCCATATACTCTCAGCCTGGCCTTTATGTGCCTGCGGGGTTTGCCTTATCTCCCATTGATGCTGGCTGGGTTTGGCTGCAGATGGGGGACTTGGGGAGAAACCTCTAGCACAGCAGCTGATAACCTTGGCTGCCACTTCCTAAAAGCTGCAGAATTCATTATGCTCCATAATAGCTCTTCTGGCAGTGCCAGTCCAGGAGGCACAGTCATCATGGCTCCCCACCCCCAGGATGTCCAGAGCAGCTGCTCCAGGAAAGGGTGTTTGCAGGCTTCCTGAGCCTGGCAGTTCCTATTCTGTGGTTTGGGAATCAGAGGAGAAGCTGCATGGGGACTGGGTGTGGGACTGGTGCCTCGGATAGGGTTTTCGTTCTGAGCAGACTCTATGATCAGAAAGAATGATGGTACTCTTATCTTTCAAGAGGCCATTAGAAACCTACAAAATACTTTAACAGGAATGTAAGATATGTGAGTTATAAGTGGTTGGAAAATATTTGTGTTTTACACCCAGGTTTTTTAAATATATTTTTTTATTTACATTCATTCACTGTACATCATTACAGCATACAAAATGAGATTTTCCATCCAGAGTACACTGTATATTGTCTCAATCAAGCACATCAACATTACACCCAGTTTTAAGTCTTTGAGGCCAACAGGTCATTTTTAAATCCATCTACCCTTTTTCATCTATCCAGCCACCTACCCATTAGCTCACCTATTCATTCATCCATTCATCTACCCACCCAGCCAACCAGCTGCCCATTCACCTATCCAGCTACCCACCTATCATTCCACCTATCCATTCCTCCATCTACCCATCTGTTCACCCACTCATCCATCTACCCACCTATTCACCCATCCACCCACCCCATCATCCACCTACCATCCATCTAGCTAATCTGATCCTGTTTGAGCAGCTACAGTATGCCAGACCATGCTCAACACTGCAGACACAGGGATGACAATTTGCTCATAGTCACTCTTTCAAATGTATACCTACCTAGTGTAGTGTGTGCCCAGAGACATGAAAGAAATCTTCATCCCCAATATCAGAAAGAATAACTAATCTACTGAATCCCAAATGCAAATTCAAACCTTATGTCACACTAGCCTGATTTTTCTCTAACAGTTGGAGAACCAGGAGATATGGAAATCTTTATCATTTCTAAAAATACTGACCGAGGGTATAAAAATATGAGTCAAAGCAAAGTGAATCCTTCAGTTCCTGTTTCATTCAGATGGGAAAGAAGCTGCTGCTGGTATAGGCTCCTGAAAATGGAAAGGGTACAGAAGCCTGGTGTTCAGTGAGGGTGCGGTGGATGGGCAAGACTCTGAGGAATTGGACCCTGCATGTTAACAAACTAAGTCAGTGCCATGTTGCCTTTGGTGCTTGGTTGTCCAATGGTGGGCATTTGGTGCTGTGAGTCTTAAATCTGCCATTCTCAGCCTAAGCAAGTTTCTTACCTCTCTGAGTCATAGTTTCTTCATCTGTAAAATGGAGCTAGTAAGGCTTCTCTTGAAGGGGTTTAGGCCAATTAAGTAAGAAAACAAACACGAGGCACCTGGTACATATTGGTTATTCAATACACGTTCATTTTGTCCTGATAAATACTTGGTTCTGATTTGGTCATTTTAAAAAACATTTAGATTCAGATCTGGTTGGGAGATAAATTAGATCGAGGATGTCATTCAGTTTAAAAAAGAAAAAGTGCTTCCTGTGCTTGATTCCATTTGGGATTTGGCAGATGAGCACAGACTGTTCCCATTGTTGGCACCTGTTTGCTCTTACACAGGCCCTGCTCTGCTGAAGGCTGCAAGGGTGAAGAGTCTAATAATGCTACCAGCTCAGGGGCCTTGGTTCAGTAGAAGTGGGAGAGCCCCTCTCCCAAGCCAACAGGAAGGGCTGTGATTTCTGCCTCAGGAGCCTGGTGTAGCAGGAGAGCAGGGGCTGGCAGGGGCCTGGTCCAGGTCATTGGATAGACAGGACACATCACAAGGCATGTTATTTTTTTGGCTCTGTGGACTGGCAGCTTGAGAGCCAGTGGTAATTATGCCTGCTGATAGGGCACAATAGCATGAGCAGAATATGACAGGATCCTCCAGGCGGGAGGTGGGTAGGTGCTGGGCACTGATACTGTCAGGAGACTTTTTTCTGGAGTGATTGTTTTTCTGGGACGTCTGTAGCAGATTCTCAGGCTTGTTCCTTGGCCAATGGAGAGGCTACTGTGAGAACTGGGCTCTGAGCAGGGCTTGGACACGTTGCTCGAGGAGTATGTTCTCTGTAGAGAAACAGCGCCCAAGGCCTGAGTAAGAGCTTAACCTTGTGTCTTGCATTGGTTCTTTCATAAGCAGAGCCACCCCAGGGCCTCTGATGGCATAGATGAGGCTATTGGACACTTCCATTAAGGCACTCAGAGGCAAGGAAGGAGCCAGGGGTGAGGTTGGATGCCTGGGTTCTAATTTGGGCCCCAACCCGCTATGTGTGTAGGTTAGATGGCTTAATGGGCCTCTCAGGACCTCACTCTGTCTTCTCATTTGTAAAGTAAGACAAGAATACACAAGAAGGCCGTTGTGAGATACCACTTAGAGTATGCCCCACAGGTAGTTCCTTTTCCTTCTCTTAGACTGGAGGTTGTGTCCAGGATTAGAGAGGAGAAACAGGGCTGGGCAGAAGCAAAGTTCAGTGTGGTCTCAGGCCATGAGACCTGCAGAGGCTTGGAACTGGGCTTATATCCGTGAGGGTGGAAAGAGCTGGCAGAGGGGCCTCATGACAGCTAGAGGACAGGCGAGCCTCAGCAGTCTTAGATTGGCTATTGGAAGTGTATCTTCAGTTCCCTGGAACCTAGTGAAGGTATTTCACCTTCTGGAACTTAGTGTCCTCATGTGCAAGAGGGAGGGGGTCAAGTGGTTTCGTTCCTATCCCCTCTGTAGGGTTACTGTGAGGCCAGATGAGATGGTGACATAAAATTTCAGCTCATAAAAGGGTAATATGTAGCAACATACGTAGGGATAACTATTTGAACAAGAGTTGCTTCTGCCTTAGCCTTCAAATGGGCCACCCTGCTAGAGGAAATAGAGATTCCCTCATTGGCTTTTTCATAAGGCCCCATATTTGCTTCATGGATACCCGTCCAAAGGGC